GGACAAAATTGTATACCAAAGTATAAATTAAAGAGTAATACCTATATTTAAATTATTTTGATTTTAACTTTATCAAATAATTAGTGAGATATTAAAAGTAAATATAACGGTAAATTTGACTAGTGGTTAATTTTATGCGAAGATACAAATTTCTTACATTTATATTCAAGTGTTTTTATAAAAATAAAAAATATGTATGATGTTTCAGGTCTCGGTTTGGGCTGGAAAATTACCCTTCTGAACAGGACCAAAATCTCAATTTTTTGGGCTGATGACTTGACCTAAATCTATTTGGTCCAGACTGAACGGTCCAGCATGGTCCATCTTTCTATTCCAGATCAAAACATGAACACCCCTCTTTGGAGTTGTATATATGTCTAGACTCTAGAAAATTCAATTAATCCTGAATATTTTTAACTAGGTAGCTTCATAGATACTGTTTTGGTTATATCAGTACATGTTTTCATTAGACTTGAAGCATAATTATTGTAACATTTTCTTAGTTGGTGAACACAAAACAGTGTATATTTTATGACATGGTTAGCTCATTTAGCTGTGGTTGAATCCTCTTATTTTCATATTATTTTATTTTAATGCTTTAGTGAAACTGCAATTCGGTTTTATGCCTGGTCGCTCAACAACTGAGGCTATTCACCTTCTTCGGCAACTTATGGAGAAGTATAGAGACGTTCACAAGGATTTGCATTTAGTGTTCATTGACTTAGAAAAGGCATATGATAGGGTACCTCGAGAAGTTCTTTGGTGGGCCTTAACTAGAAAAGGCATTTCACGCAAGTATATCAGCATCATCATGGATATGTATGAGGATAGTACTACAAGTGTTCGTACTAGTGTAGGGAGGACTGCGGAGTTCCCTATTACTATCGGAGTGCACCAAGGATCGACTCTGAGCCCTTTTTTATTTGCCATAGTCATGGATGAACTTACAAAGTCAATTCAAGACGATATACCGTGGTGCATGATGTTTGCCGACGATATTGTATTGATTGATGAGACGCAATCAGGGGTTAAAGCAAAGTTGGAAGTATGGCGACAGACATTGGAGAACAAGGGTTTCAGACTAAGTAGAAGCAAGACAGAGTACATGGAGTGCAAGTTTGGTGGAGGTAGAAGCAGTGGTAATAGCGGAATTACTTTAGATGGTAAGGAGATACCGGTCAGCGATATGTTCCGTTATTTGGGCTCCATAATTCAGAAGGACGGTGAGTTAGATGGAGATGTATCTCATAGAATCAGAACAGGGTGGATGAAGTGGAAGAGTGCGTCAGGATTTCTATGCGATTGAGGTATGCCGACTAGACTGAAGGGTAAATTTTATAGGACAGCAATTAGGCCTGCATTACTGTATGGCACGGAGTGTTGGGCGGTGAAACAATGTCACATTCAAAAGATGAGTGTGGCAGAGATGCGCATGCTGCGTTGGATGTGTGGGCATACTAGAAAGGACCGCGTGAGGAATGAGACAATTAGACAAAGGGTGGGAGTAGCACCTATTGAAGATAAGATGCGGGAGTCACGCCTACGGTGGTTTGGTCATGTGCATAGAAGACCGAGTGTTGCACCTGTCAGACGAGTTGAGATGTGTGGAGAAGAGGTGGGGAAGAGAGGGAGAGGAAGGCCCAAACAGACGTGGGTTAGGGGAGTCAGAAGTAATATGCTTCTTCTTGGATTGGATGAGAGTATGGCTTTGGAGAGAGCAAAATGGAGGGCGGGTATTCGTGTGGAAGAGTGATCTTGTATCATCTTTTCTCCTTTTTTTTTCTTTTATATTTTTATCCTTATATATAAATATTATTTTATCCTTTTTATTTGATCTTTTATATGTATATTCATCTCTTTTATATTATCTGTTTTTATAATAGCTTATCTTTTTTATCTTTATTTTCGTTCTTTTCCTTTTGGTGATATCATATATCGATTCATGTTAGCCGACCCCAATATCGTTTGGGACTAAGACTTGGATGTTGTTGTTGTAGTGAAACTGCAAATCTACTAGTGCGGAGTTTCTTTTGAAATACTAGAAAAGTCTGGTTGAATCCTCAGTTTCTAATTGCCCATAACTGTCCATGTTTTTCTTTCTTTAAGAAAATGAGAAGTTGTATAGTTCTTTTTTATTAGTCCTGTTTGTATGCTCTTCTGCTATGAGCTCAATTTTCCCGTGTTATGAGAGCTGGATACAGTCCGGGTAATGGTTAGGTGTTAACTATTATAGCTTACATGGAAGTAAGTTAGAATTATAGTCTCTGCTGTTCAATGACAGGGCTTGCAGCATCAAAGGGTGCCAGCTGGAGTAGGTGGTGGGTACACAAATCAGATGAATCCAAACAATGGTTTAGGATTCAAATCGGAGAGTTATGGTGTTAGGTTAGGCGCACATGATAGTGTGGCTATTCATAACGCAGATAGGTCACATGGTCATAGCATTGTTCTATCGAGTGATAACACTGAAAGTGCGAGTAGCATAAGTCTGAATAGAGGGCCCCGTGCAAAAGGCGTGAGGGATCAGAAGGACTCTGAAGCCATCATTCTAGCAGTTAAGGAGCGTATTCTTAACACTGTGAAGGGTAACAATGTCAATGACAATGAACCTTTACCTCTTTCACCGGGCAGGGGACAATACAACCGAGATGATTTTCCAGAAACATTCTCAGCTGCTAAGTTCTTCGTCGTTAAGTCATACAGTGAAGATGATGTACATAAAAGTGTCAAATATGGTGTATGGGCCAGCACCCCCAACGGTAACAAGAAACTAGATGAAGCATACAGAGAAGCCCAGAAGAAGCCCGGTGGATGCCCTGTATTTTTGCTGTTTTCTGTAAGTGTTTTGTTCTATTTGGAACTCATGAAATTGCATTGGATGGGGAAAAATTGCCAAGGAAAAATGCTTTTTTTACGTTAAGTACAGAAGAAAATCAAATCAGATAAAAACCTTTCAAAACCTCAAATGTATTTACATTTCGTAGTCTTTACATGTTAGAAATATATAAATTAAATGAGTTAAAAAATCTCAAAAATTGGTCTATTGAGTATGAACTATTTTTCCCTGTACTCCGTAAATATTCTTGCCTTACATTTTCTTATATTTTCCTCTATTTTCTTTCCCAATCATTTTCAAAGTCCCAAATGGACTTGTAATTGAATTGATTTAGCATGGATTTGTTAGTGAGAGGTGACAGGTAATAGCTGCTATTTGCAAAAAATGTTGTCTTTCAGGTCAATGCAAGTGGACAGTTTGTTGGTCTTGCAGAGATGGTTGGTCCTGTTGATTATGATAAGACAGTAGAATATTGGCAGCAAGACAAGTGGAACGGGTGCTTCCATGTTAAATGGCATATTGTAAAAGATGTACCAAACAGTATGTTGAGGCATATCAGACTCGAAAATAATGAGAATAAACCTGTAACTAACAGCAGAGATACTCAGGAGGTTTGTTTCCTATGCTAAAAAAGCATGTTGGAGTAGGATTTTGCTTGGGGTAGATAAAATTTATGGTTTCTCATGATGCATGCAGGTTGGGCTTGAGCAAGGTAATCAGATATTGAAGATATTCAAAGAGCATTTTAGTAAAACATGCATTTTAGATGATATTGATTTCTACGAAGGGCGGCAGAAGATGATGCATGAGAAAAAGGCTAAGCAACTCTTGTCATCAAACAAACAGGCAATTATATGAACCTATTCTGGACATTTTCGTTTGTTACTACCTCCGCCCCATTAGGATGAGGAAGAGACATGATAATTAAGACAAGTGGAATTATGTGGTTATTAAATTTGTAAATTGTTAATAAAGTAAGAATAAATTAGTACACATATATTACCAAATATCATATGAGACAAAATTTGTGGGACAAATTGAAAGACGCGACAAAGATTGTGGGATGGAGGAGTATTTATTGGCTTATTTTCTTTATCCTCTAGCTGAAACCAATTTTATTGAACTTTTTTCCTTTCAAAGAATTAAGTAGACTCAGCATTTTTAGCTAAATAACGATTACCAAGCGAGCTCTTAAAGTCTATGTGCTACATGCAGTATTTACTAACAAAAATATTACGTACTAGTAGTACGGGGTACAAAAATACTGAAGAGTACTGTGTGTTCATCGCAATCAGTGGCATGTGCCTGTTTTTGGAGGGCCTCCTCTTTGGAGCAGCAGAAAATACACACGCACACACTTAATAGCTTATTATCGACTGTATTTATTTATTTATTTATTTATTTATTTATTTGTTCATTTGTGTAGGATGGAAATGTCAAACCAGCTGTGGTAGTGTCAGCACAAAAAGTTGTTGGGGAAATAGATACAGAAGGATTTACTTCTTTAAATGGAGGAGTGAAGAGGCGGGAACAACAAAGATCGTTTGCAGCAGTTCTGATTTCCCATGATAATAAATCGCACAAAACGGCCTAGTTATTTAAACTAGAATTATCTAGGTAATAGGATACATACATAATAGAAACATGTTTTTCTTCACGCTTGTTATGGATCTATACAAATGAGGATCATAACATGGTTATAATGAGGGACTGAAAAGATACAGGTATACGGCTAAAACCTACATTTGAGTTTTTTACTCCAATTGATCTGTGAGTTTTGAGTTGTTTTGGATCATTAGGTTTTTGTGATGCTTGTGTGATTGTGTCCTTATGATTTTTTTATCAACAGCCAGCTTTGTGTCCTTGATATTTTCAAATAAGTTGAAAATGAAAGTGTGTACATGCATTTTTTGGTGGGATGCTGAAAAGCCTGAAGTGGATGAAACTTGCTAACTATTTTATGTCAAACAAATTCCGCAATTCTTTTTTCTCTGGTTTTTGCAAATGCAGCCATTGAAGTCAACTTCTCTCATAGCGAACGAACTAGCTTAGACTCCCTTAGAGAACTAGAGCCGACTTGTACTAAACACATTTTTGTAACATCTCAACAAATTTATATTTCTTCATCCTATTTACTTTGTCAATTTTTCCAAAAACTTGTCATTTTTAATAGAGTAATTATTACTGCATGTGGCCTGCTTTTTCCAATCTCAATACACATTTCAGCAATTTAGCCTCATATTTTTTTTTTGAGGGAAAGGGTCAAATAAGACTTTCTACTATTACGGGATCGTCATATAAGGTCATGTATTCAATAGTGTCATGTATATACGTCTACTTTTAAAAAGCAACCGGATGAGTCAAAACGACCCGTTAACAATCTCCTAATTACGATTTTAGCTTACTTTTGTCGTTATTTTTGCTTTGTATTTAAGCCAATCGTGACCTAATATTTGAATATTTCACGTCAACCTTATAATCTATTTAAAAAAGGTAGCCAAACGTACACTTAAATCCGAATTACGAGGTTGTCAACAGGTCGTTTTAACTTATTTAATTGCTTTTCATAAGTAGACATATTTATGCTCTTTTTCCTTTTTTGTTTTTTGCAGTGTAAGTAGAAACTTGTAATATTTAATGTGGCGATGAGTGTGTAATTGTTAAAAAGCATTCCCATTGCGACTTGTTCATAAACATGTTGCACAAAATCATAGGAACCAGACTACAAATTCCATCTTGAGTAGGGGCTATGGCCTATGCACTTGGTTCGGCTGGTCTCAAGTAGGGGTGGGCTGGGACGGGTCCGGGACGGGATTGGGCGGGCTCCTGATCTAAAATTTTCAGGCCTGGTACCGGCCCAGGTATGTAGTGGTACCGGGTCGGGTTACCTAGTCGGGCTTTAGTCCGGGGCACGCGGCTAGCCGTTGGCAACGGCTAGCAGCCAGCCCCAACAATTGAAACCAAATAACAAAAAATTGAATTTTTTACTGTTACGACCGGATTGGGCCCGGACCAGCCAGTCCGGTCCACTAAAATCAAATCCCGTAGCCCACCTGCTTCTTCCACTGGACCGGGTCTCGGGCCTAGTCCGAGTCCCGGTCAACCGGGCCAGGCTGGGATTGCACAGTAGCTGGTCAGACCGACCCGTCCTAGTTCATCATCCCTAGTCCCTAGTCATGAAGTGTGGGAATCAAAATTTTAAGTTGGTATTCTGTTATTGAGGCTGTTCCATTGTAACAGCCATTATTTGAACAAAACAAAAAACAGAACTGGTTTGAAGAAATCTATTTGAATCGTTTTCATTTCCACACCTGAAGCGGAAAACCAGAAAGGTTTTCGAGCAAAAGAACAATTGATCCTGGCTCAATCAATTGTAGGATCTTGACGCTCACCTCCATCGCCGTATTCAGTGACCACCACCACTATTGCCAGTGTACACCATCCATGAAGACCATGAGGACCAAAACAGGACTACCGCTGTTAGCGAACATTGACGAGTTAGTGGTCATCACTGCCGCCACTAATACCACCAGCATGACATTGGAAAATATGTGTTGATAACCATGTTTTCCAAATTGAAAAAAATAAAATAGAAACCAGACGAGTAGCGAGTCTATAGAAGGTGATGCCCTTTTCCCTCTTCTTTTCAACCTTCAATGAATTAGTTACAACACCAGTATTGTTTTCTAATCAGATTTGAAATGGTTTCAGTTAACATTAATTCTATTGCAGATTTAACTGATTTTTTATTATCTGTATGCCATACAGAGATATGAGCCCTCTGGTCTTTCCCTACCACACATGCCTTCGGACCTAATGTGTATAAATGAAGATGTAGAATGATCAAACTCACATCGCACCAAAAACTCATCTTTGTTATACAGATCGATAAAATCTTTTATCTCTAAAACACACACAATAACATTCCAAATTCTATAAGCACCAATTCATAACAAGTTGCACAAAACTTAAGTGGGAACGAGATCATAAAGACCATCTCGATGCCCCTCCCACGCCAAAAAACTGAAAATCACAACAAGAATTAGAAACCCCCACCACATGCGCTTGCGATTCTGAGTATATGAACCATACCGGTACCCTTTAATTTTTGGCACCGCTCTTTTGATGCTTTTCAATTCTGAGCTCTCCAGATATGACTGTTTGTCCCAATTTTCTGTACACCTTTGATATCGCGCAGCATTCTGTCCAGACAAACTGACGTTGTTATCATCTACTAAACCCTCCTCATCTGAGCTGTCATTTTCATACCTTCTCAAAAGGCTCCTGTTCATACTCATTGAAATGGGGGATGAAATGGTTGAATCATCACCAGAATCACACACATTCTCAGAAAATATTCTTTTAGCTAATTGAAGTGCATCAAACGCTGCTTTTCTCACATGGATTGTCTCAGTTGATGATTGTACACACACTGCCAGCTGTTCAATGACCAATCCCATCTCAGACAATATACTCCTCGGATCCAAATACCTCATCAGACAGCTAAGCATAAGAATGGCCAACAACCTTTCCCGAGAATCTTCGTCCGATATTTTACAACTCAGAACGCGCAACGCAGATCGAACCAACAATCTTGCATAGGCTTCAATGAGCAAACCATTGTGTTTGGCCAATGACATCACCAAAGCCATGTGATGGTTTATATCTTCGTGCATCTCAAGTGCCCCGGAGACTGTTTGGCAGACCTCATTGATTGTTTCATTTGAAGCAAAACGCCAATTTTCAGAATCCACTAGAGACTTTAGGCACAGGGCAGCCCCTGAAGATAGGGTTTCTTGAGTTGCCAAGAGACAATCTGAAAGCGGCTTTGCGAGGGAGTGGATGATGTGGCGCTTTTTCTCATCTGGAGTTGCGGGACCCATTCCGTACCTTGCGATGGCTGCAACTGCTTTTGAGCAAGACTGATGATGGAGAGGAAATGACCCTTCAGATGAGGATTTTAATGTCCTAATGATGGTTTCCATAATGTGGTCAACCTCATGGAGTGAGATTGTGAGTCCATGATGTTCAGCTGATGCGCTTAATAACCACCCTTCACTGAGTGTCACACCTGCATCAAGATTCTTCTCCAACTCTCTCTGTAGTATAGGGCTTAGACTTTTTCTTCCCATCATTTACCAGAAGCAAACTACAACCAATTTAAACCTAAGAACAATGGAAGATACTGTCAAAATCCCTTTTTTTGCCAAGAACTTGCAGTAGATGCGAATAGAGAACTTATAACTTACGGAGTATAAGGCATATTTTGCGCTAAATCTTGAAAATATATAGAAATTCATGAGTTTCACAAATTCGAACAAACACACAGACCCACTATGGACATTCGTAAATCGGATGAGAAGATGCTTGAATCTAAACAGCAATACATACCAGTTTGAATAAAAAAAAAACTTAACCCTTTCTCCTTCAGATTCTTGGTTCTTCATCGATTAAGAGCAGCATGGGGAATACTGATACCTTGCATTGTTTTTTTGCAATTCTTGAAAATGGGAAAATGGATAGTCGGAAGATTGGGAGCGTTGGCGGCGCTATGGAATGGACAGAGCTTCCGCGTTTTCAGTGCAAGGCTGTCCGTTCCTCGTTTGTCCTTTTTTTCATTTCTAGAAAGGGTACTCACAATTATGATTGGGCAGGGTCCAATCGTACCATCTCCCAGATATTCCAGGATTTACATAATTTATTCCAGGATTTACATAATTTATTTCTTACTATTCTTGTACCAAAATTTTAATTTTAGAGTTACTTTAGAGTCACTTTGATAGCATCAAAATCGGCTGATTTGACTGATTATACTAAAATTTATGAAGTTCTAGTCTAAGTTCCAGCACTGGCTGATTCTGCTATTTTAAAAAAAATTATTTCTGAAATATATTTTATTCATAAAATAAAGAAAAAATTATATGTAAAAATAGCTAAAATGGTCATCTACAGTAACTTCAGCCAATACAGCCAGGAAAGTAACTTCAACCTTACTTTTTCTGCTTATTACACAATTTAGCACGCGAAAGCAAAAGTTACGTGTTTAGTGAAAAAGTTAGCAGATAAATCTGATAAGCCGAAAAACAGTGTGCGCGAAGTCAAAAGTTATTTGTTTTATAAAAAATTGACTGATAAAACATATAAATAAAACATAGAAGTCACCAAACGGGCTCAATTGTTTTCTTCCATTTTGTACTTTATGGTTCCTGTAATTGTTCTAAAATCATTCTAAGCGTCAGACTAGTCCCCGGCTCCCCGCCCATGGGCTAGGTGGTGGTTGGACGTCCTGATTTTGTCTATGCACTTCAACTAATTGGTTTGGCATCTGGTGAATTACTCAACCACCTAATGCGTCTAATTGTCCACCCATATCGCCTAATCGGCCGCCTAGCCTCTAGATTCCGCCGAACACTTTTTTTACTTTTTAATTTTATTTTTCTAGGATACATATATCTTTAATTTTAACCATGAATATGAAGAAAGGTACATGTAAATTAAGATAAAAAAAATATTTATGTTTGTATATATACTTGAATTTTATTATTATGGAATAAGACCTGCTATGGAATAAGACCTACGCTTTTACCCGCCTATGGAGTTGGCGCACCCGCTTCCGCCTAAGTGAGATCCTTCTCTTTCTGCATCTCTCTACTTATCGTCCACACCACCGTATGGCTTTCTTCACTTGCTTACAAAGAGGTTTCCCCACTTAAGGAGGGCCGATGGAAATATGAATATACTTGCTTTATCTTCGAATGAAACTATCCATGGAATCGTGCGCCGTGTGAAACGTAGATCATCGCCGTTCTTAACCGAGACTCAGGTTAAGCTCCATCTCGGAACCTTGTGGGGTTAGGAGTAA